AGGACTTCCAGTTTTTTATCGGTCGCCGCCGCCGCCAGGGATCGGGACACGTCTATCGATCATCCATCGTCGACTCGGCTGCCGCCGCGCGTATACCTACCGATATATATCGGTTTTTCGTCGGGGGACACAGGTATGCGAGGCTACCGATGGCCTTGCCCGTGAGCGGAATCACGGAGAAATTTTCTGCAAAGCCGTGCAACAAGGTGTCACCCGATACCAGTCCCTCCTTTGACAGCTTTGACGGAATTTTCGAGTGACTGTCGATAGATCGAGTCCTCTTCATTCCGCGAGAATACTGCTGGAAGTCGAGTTCTTAATGAGAATGTTCGAAGTCGTGAGTCTTTGTTGAGGGGATTTTTGAATTCTAATTGAAGGATATAGAGGGTTTTAGGTTTTGTGTTGTAAAATTTTTATACTTTGCTTCTGATAATTGGAAGGATAAGGTACCGGATTCATTCTATTACCTTCGTTTTGTGTAATGACATACGTGAAAATTGTAGAAGATATCACGATAATAATTTCATATGATTGAGAAGAAGAAACTAACACAACCATCAAATGAAGTAGTTCCCGCTTGACTGACCGAGGCTCCGGTTCGTTTCGTGACAGTTATCGAGGGAGGTGGATGTTCTTCGTCTCACGATCTCCCCGAAACTCCAAGATTCTTTCTTATCGCATAACGTGTAGTACACCGCCCGTATTCAGAATTTGCAAAAACTATCCATGAAATCCATTAAGCTTAAAACTAGATATCTTATCTGTCCCTTGTGTCAATTACACACATTTTTCTCCTGAGAAATTATATCATTCTGTCCATGTCTAGGTAAATTTACCCGAGACTCCGTGACTTGTACTCGAAAGAATCTGCAAATTTAACTATTTAACTCTAAATTTTCCAAAGTTTGTCATATTTATTGACCGATCGAAATAGATATCCGTTTATCGTCGTTAGTTCTAGTCTTAAACCACCATCGTCATCCAGCTGCAAAATTTTCGCCCACCTCTCCCACCTACAACTTCGAAAAAGTACCAAACATATTGATCAACTCGCCTAGAACCGAGCTTCCCCTTCCCTCACAATAATCCATTCCGAGCGAAACCGGTGAGCCGTGTGCCGAAGCAGTTGACCGGGGCGTCCGTAACCGTAGCATAACGTATCCGCCGATACGTGACGATGGCTCCCGCCTTCCGTTTTCCCGCGGCCACGTACCACCGCTCCGCCCAGGGAGAAATCGTGGCGAGGGCAATTAGCATGCTCGCCGGAACAAACGAGCGAGCGTATCGGGCTAATGCCTCGATATATCGATCCCCCGGCGTATACGAATAATTATCGTCGGTGCTACCAACGAGTGCGTGAGAGAGAGAGAGAGAGGAAAGGTCCCTGTTTCCAACACGGAGCAACGTAACACCTTGAGCGCTACTTTAAAGGCGACGACGACGACAACGACGACGCCTGGGCCCTTGGTGATATAGTTGCCGAGTCCCTCCAGTCGGTTGCACGGTTGCGAAGCAACGTGTGCACAGCACACCTCGATGCGATCGCGTGGAGTAACTCAGGGACTGCCGGCTGCGCTTCCTCCACGGGGCCCTAGGGCTGAATTATGGCCCCTGTGGCCCTCGGACACACGGCAACACGCTTCGTCGTTTAACCCCTTGCCCGATCCGTAGCCCCGAAGCGCATTCTTTGCCGACCGTCCTCCTGCTTTTCTCGCGAACCCGTGGAATCTTACGATTCCCGGTGAGAACGGCCAGAGAGAGAGAGAGAGAGAGAGAGAGACGGTGCCCCGGGCACGGGTATATCTGCCGTGGTTTGCTGGTCTTCGACCCCGTTCCCCTCCCCGTCCAGAGGTGCGGTATTGAATCTTGCCGCGGAGAATCGCGTCATGCCACGAACATCGTTCGTCGATCGGAATTTTTCGCGGGTTCTTGGATTTTGCGAGAGGCACGAGGGACTTTTCTGTTCGTCGAATCGAAACTACAACCGAAGTGTTTGGGATTGGAAGTGGAGTGGGTGGTCTAGGAATTGATCGTTGCTATTGAGATCTAATGACTCTAAAAGTGTCTCGGCTTTGAATCGAAAGATTGAAGAGTAGCTGATACATTTATTACCTTCTAAAACAAGAAACAGGGAAGGCAAGGTTCGTGTAGAAGTCGTCGATCATCGTCCATCATCTGTTCCAAAAAAGGATCGGGTATAATCGCAAGAGTTGACGCCATGTTCGACTCGAAATTCGCAATCTAAAACGCGCGCAACAATCTCCGACAAATCGTCCCTACGCCCATTGATCATCGAGGACCGCGATTAAAATATCACCGGTGCAAAACACACCGGCTTACCGCATCCTCGCGCATTACCAAACCGAGGTTCGAAAACCGGGCAAAGAGCCGCCGCGTGTGCATCCAGTTTTATCGGCGATCGGTGGGGGCCCGACTGGTCATGGATCGGCTGCGACGGTTATAACACACGACCGCATGGGATCGGCGTCGAACGGCGGACGGGCAGAGGCAGTTTCGAGGCTTTGGTCGATGGAGAGTAGCGGATCCGGGACACACACGCATTAACGCACGGCTCTCGACGCCATAATGCGCTCGGTGGGTCACGTTTTTCGGTCCCGACACAATGCGCGCGGCTGGCTTTCGACAATATGTTCGGGGCCATCGGAACGAGGCGACGGATGGATGTGGATGGATGGATGGATGTGGACGGGACGGATTGATGTTCGAGGGAGAGACAGAGAGAGTCGCACGATCTCCAACCCTGGGGGTTTGTTTAGGCCCCTGGTCGCGAAACCCACTCAACCCACTAATCTATTTAGCCGTGCTGTTTGATATGGAATTAATGAGGACTCCCCCTGTCCCCATTGCTATTATTCACGGGCCTGATTTTCGGTTTACCTTTTCTGGTTGGTGGAACGGGGAGAGACGACCGACTTAGGCAGTTGCTGCTCGCACTCCGCCTTTTCAGGCTGCTGGAAAGCATCGTGGGGATTAGTTTTGGGTGTGGTTCTCTCGCACAGCTGCCTCCGTGCGCGTTGCGATTATCGACGAGGCGTTTATTGTTTCGCAATTCGGAAACAATCGGGCAGGTGTCCGTCTCTCGGTTGGCGCGAAATCGGGGACTAAACTGTTGGTGTGCTTCCGATCTTGCTGCGCACCAGACGGAACGTTCGAAAACCGTGCCATCGATACCTATGGAAATGTTACATCGTCTGTTCTGCGTGTTTAGATAACCAGGCGATAGAGCGATAGACCTGGTTGCAGGTGGAACTTAATTCTACTGATGCGGGTCTGAATGTTTTCTACCCGGGAAGAGTCTATTTTGTTCGTGAAAACGTGGGTTCAATTCGAAAACTCGAAACCAACCGGGTCTATAGATATCGTCGATTATTCAATAACTCGTTGATTGAATCATTCTTCGATTATACATCAGACGTTACATCAACATTCGCTCTGTTGCTATTGGTAGTATAGTAATTAACATTAGCACATAGATTTCTACTATACCTCAGAAATCTTCAGAATTTCCCCCTAAAAAATATTCCAAGAATTTCTCAGCAATCACGATCCATTCGCCAAACGATCACTCGAAGCGGTCGCTTTAGGATTAATTAGATCGACGTTTCGTCTATCATAGCTAAATAGAAACTCCTCAACCAGTTTTCATCTAATTAGACAGCTTGAAATCGGTGACATACACTGGGATAGATCGGACAACGATTAAAATGTCAGGGGCCCCGAAGGGACGCGATGTCGTCAGCGAGTTCTCGGCGAGGCACGGTAGCCTCCTCGAGAGCAAACTTTGGCTATGTTAATGCGGCCGCGGTGCATGTGTACCCAGCGTGCCGAAGCGAGCCGTGCAACGCTTGTACCACTGGGCCCCAGGGTCCCGACGAATGTCTACAAACGCAAAAACACCGTTCGACCGACGAGTTTTCCGATTTTGTAATCGGGTAATAGCGCGAACTACCTCGTTCCCGACGTGTCGCTCAATCGGAGAACACGATGTCGAACAGTGAATCGATGGAGGAGGGGTCGAACGGGGTTACGAAACAAATATAAAGTTCCTGATAAGAAAAAAGAATTATGGAAAAGGTGACGTGAAACGGAGGTGATCTGGAGTGTAAAAGTGTACGTTTGTTGATTGTTAAAAAATGTTGATATAACCACCTATTGAAAAATAACCCGATATGTATGTACTCTTTTCGTGAGTATATGCGAGAACTAATCTCCGTTCCTTTCTCTGACGTCTGTATTTGATACCGACAGAATGTAACGAATTGTTCGGTCAAAACGCGTTTCGTGTTCGAGTCGCCGGTGTTGATAACGGGACCGATGAAAAAGCCGTACAAGTGTTAATCCGTGTACCACCACCGATGACGTAGCACCGCGTCATTTAATAGTTGACATAGCATTACGTGATGTTCGGAGCTAAAGCTCGGGAACCTGTCGTTTATTCAGCAACAGGAAAATATTTAACGCTACTAATCGAATTTTTCGTTCTTGCGATGTATCTTTCACGGATGCATGCCGATTTAACCACGACGCTACACGTTATGTAACTCTAGATATTACTGAATCGTATAGATTCAACAACTATGGTGCCTACTCGAAGCCCACACAAACTGTCGAGCAACAAATCTGATACGTCTTTCGGTAGACGTCACTTTTCACATCTACTACCTAGATTCAACTTAAATACCGAATTAATATATAAATCTGCATAACTTTGTGACAGGTTATTGAGTGTAGTACACATTCAGTGCCACACAACGTATGTATATTTGAAAGGAAGTGAACAAAAATACCTGCACATATATTCCTCCAAGAAATCCTCTGACCCTCATCCAAAAGCCTCTTTCTTCAGACGTTCTAAAACCCCCCACCAACTGTCTTCAAACAATAAAGGCCCGTCTATCGAATATGAAATGTTCATATAAAAATGTTAAGAGCAAACAGGAAACAACAAACCTAAAAAAATTCTTATTGCTATGTTTCAGTGTCCTGTGACAGTGAGCTCGTCGTTGGCGTCGTCCTCGGCCTCGCCGGTTTCCGGTACGATCCTTAGCGCAGGCGGTTCCTCGCTGGTCAGCGCAGCGAGCACGACCACGAATCATCCCCTGAGCGTAGCTGGCTTGTCGAACGCGAGGATGGCGGTGACCAGCGCGGTGGTGAGGCCGCCAGGTAGCCCGACCACGTCGGTGAGCCCGTCCCAGGGTCATCCACCGCCGACGACCGGCGGCGGACCAACGCCAACCGGACGGTGCTGCGACACGGGACGACCGATCTTCACGGACCCGTTGACGGGCCAGACCGTCTGCTCCTGCCAGTACGAATTGCTCGGCGGTTATCAGCGGCTCGGCGCGCTACCGACGGCCGCGCTCTCGATGTACAGCGCGCCGTACGCGGCTGCGGCCGCGGCAGCCGCCTCCGAGGGAATGGCCGCGTACTTTCCTAGCCTGGGTGCCGAACAGGCGCCCTTCTACACGCCCACGGTGAGTCGACAACAGAATCTTTAATTACAGTAAATCCTCGATGAATGCTCGGAGAATCCTCTGGGCACTGACGACGCGAGTTCTACCATGTGAGCTTGGAATTTTGAAGCCAATAATAATTGTTTTAGTCGTGTATGTCCATTAGTTTATGAAATATTTAATGTCTCGTGTCGAGGAACCTTCGAACAGTTGTCGAGGATTTACTGTATCGTGATTTACGTTATTGTGAAGGGGGTTTTCAATATTCGAGCTACTTATTTGCTGCACTGGTTGGATCACCTGTGGCCAACAGAGAACTTTGTGTTATTAACGTAGGTGAACGTTATGTGATGCAAATTTAAAGTAATAGGATTGAATTTACGGAAATTTCTTTGTCCATTGTCTCTTGTATCTTGGAAGAATTATCGGTTCTTATAATAATGGTAGATATTGATCTAGCTAGTTCGATTAATCGATGTGTTTTCATGCAATGTGATTGTAAATTGCAGCTCGAGTTGAATTAACTCGAGACTATGTAATCTGAGTTGTAAGACACGATGTTTCATTAAGTGTTAATTATATATCGAAGGAAGCGGCAGGAAAGCGAAACAGATAGTCCCCGTCGAAGGCGTAATAAATTCGATAATTGGACTTTGAATATGCATGATAAAACTTATGTATGTTTTTTTAACAACGGAAACGCGAAACACGACTACAATCGACTGTTAGTTGGAACGTAACGATACCATTAACATCGGTAATGCGCCGACCTTGATCAGTACGGAAAAATCGAACGAACCTCGTGTGCAGATAGTGAAATCAACGATTCACCGCGATCTCGACTAAACGATCGGGTACGCGGCATCATATCTGTGGCTGTAAGAAAACACGCCGCATATGTAACTTGCATTTCACAAAAAAAAAAAAAAAGAACCGACGTCAATGCACAAATGAATATTATACAAAGTGAAGGAAATATACATTTATATCGTGAAAAGAAAACAAAGAAGTATTGTTAATAAGTAGAATCGGTGTTCGGAAGTTTAAACGACGATATCTCACAAGTGCAGACACGTGACACGTTCTACGTTTTTCCTGACAACCACAGATATATCTCCGAAATTCAATCCACCAGATCTTTACACTCCGCCCGATTCCCCCGCGCTCCGGTTTAATTATGCTATCACCGTTCGCGCGAGCGTGCGTAACCGCGTAATAAACGTCACCGTGGGACGCGGTTCAGGATGTTCATGCGTACCCGCGGAACGTTTCACTCGGCAGTCTTAAAAGTTAATTTTACTGCGTCGAAAGAGGATCCTTTCCTCTTTATTACCCCCGGGGATCGTCGTCGCTGAGCAATTCCATCGAGGGGAGGTTGAGAGGGGACACGTATCTCAGGCGTATTTTTATCCGATCCACCGCGAAATACATATAAACTCCACCGATCGAGCCTTAAGCCGTTGTTAAACTGCCACAGGAATCGGCCGGTTATCTCGCGTCCGCGGTCTCACCGTCGCGATAAGGAAGAAGATCGTCGATTGCCCAACGAACACAAAACTGGTGATTCTACCGATCTCTACTAAACGGATATCAGAACCTGCGAACGTTTCATCGCGATTTTTTCCACGTCGAGTTGCCTCGCAAAATTCGCTGGTTTGTCTCTGACGTTGTATCCAACGATACGATGCATTATATCTATAATAATCGAGATGTTATCGCGGCTAAAGGTTCAGAGACAGTGATGTTAATATACGCGAGAGGAGTGGGGGCAAGAGGGAGGAAACGGATCGGCATCGCGTGTATTCGTACGGCCAGGACAGAGGTTATCGGACCACACACAAAGCGCATACGCGAAGAAAATAGCCGCGAAGCGTAAATTTATGAATCCGTCGTCCCCGGCTGTAACAGTGGGACACTGTCGTGCACTCGTAGCCGTCGCTGAGCCCCGCGGCCCTGTTATCGTCGGTCTTTATGATCGAGCTTTAAGGGGCGAGAGCGTATGGCCGCGGCGGCCTCTCCTCGTTACGAGGCACCAGATTGCGCAGGTTCCCTATTTCCGCGGCGGGCTACCTTCGCTCTTCGTTTGTATGTATACATCGCGTACAATGTCATTAAGTATCCGTTTTAGTGGGGAACGTTCGTCTAACCGGGGCCAGAGACCCCCCACGATTCTTCGTTGCCTCGACGAAACTTCATTTCGTTTATTTCGGATTCGTGGCGCTATTCAATTCCCCTCGTATTTAACGTCGTGTCGGGGGATTTTGGAAGCTTTAAAAAATTATGATTCGGTCGGTTGTTAATTATTAACTCCCAGTGTTTCACCGGTGCAACACTCGTTTTAATAAATGCATCAAATTCTGTCGCCAGTTAGGATGTAATTTTTGTCTGAAGTTGAACGCCAACGTTTTCGGTTGAGAAATTCAAGCGTTCCCTCTAGAAATAAATGAAAAATAATTGGTTATTGTAATATCGATATTTTCGACTTCAAAATAATACGATAAATATCAATCTCATAATTTTGAAACAACGATTTAAGGGTCCTGGCGTTAAAGGGCTTATTCCATTCCCTCAATATTCAAATCACCGGGCAACAAAAGAAACATTCGACGTGTGTTCCATGTTCAGTTTGAGCACACTGTCGAGTTCGAGTGTTGAATAAATCTGTCGAATCCAGGAATTCAGCTCTCACATTAGCCAACGAACCGTATATTCCCGGAATATCTCACTGCCGTTCAAATCCATGCTTTTTCGCTCGCGAAGCTGACGTACAACGCTGACTATTTTCGGCTGCTAATTACAGTCGGGCCCAGCGATGACTGCGCGATTCGAACACGGTGTATAATTAATGCCATTAATGCAAGACTAATGCATATAGAAGAGTGGCTGATGGGTGGGTGGGGAAGGGCGGGACAAGGGGACCGCGTTCTATGGTTCTATTATTCCACCGGTTGATGGAGGTTGAAACGCTCGTCGGCCGAACGACGAGAGTCGTACCGTGTGCCGGGGGGTTACGGGTTAGAGAAGCAAACAAGAGACCCGGCAGCGCACATCGATTCTAATTATTATTATCGCCGCTTTGCCAGCTATTTTTCTCATTATCGACGATGAATTGGAGAGATGGGGGAGGGCGGTGGCAACGCCAATTAACTGGAACGCTCGATCATCGAAAAATGGATTTTTCCAGCGACTGCGGAAGCAGAGATTACGATGGTATTGTTCCCATTTTGCGGGCTGTGCGTCAAACTGTTAATTAAAAACTTCAACGAGAGACTAATTTGACCGGGAGTCGGGCTCCGGGTTCGAAGAGCAAACGAACGATTTCGTGTTTTTCTGGCGATTCACCGGTAATCAGTTTCGGAACGAGTTCTCCGGTTTTGAACAGCTTACTGGGCCACCGTGGAATTCGTGTGTTTTCTTGTACACGTTGCAGCTAATTGCAAGGCGTTGGCCATGTTATTAACAAGTATAATTACCCTGTGTTGCAGGCTGCTGGTCTGGATCTGAAGGAAAACCTCGGAGCTGGAGCCGCCGCGTGGCCTTATCCATCGGTCTACCACCCTTACGACGCCGCTTTCGCCAGCTACCCCTTCAACGGGTGAGTTACCGAAATATTTTGATACACTCATTAGACAGATTCTACATGTCCAAGAATAATTAAGACAAACTGCATAGTTCAATCGCGTATTCTTGCACGAGGTCATTATATTCGGATCGAGACTATCCGATCAGTGAAATGGTCCCGTTTCTAAGAAGTTCAGCTTAAGGTAATTTTTAACCGTAATATTCGAAATTAATTGACATGGAAAGAGCTTGGTTTCATGCAAAAGAGCAGCGAAATTATTATTCTTGACGGCTTCGTAATTAACCACGCGACGTTTAAATTTTGGTTTCCTGTCGTTAAGGAGATTCAGGATGAATGTGTCCGTCAGTCAAGTGTCTTATTCTAACGGGTTCAAGATAAGGCAGAGTTTGTCTTTGAAATGTTAAGAATAAACTGAACGGAAACACGAAATTAGTCGTTTATTCCCGAGTTCCCGTGGAAAGATCATTTACTTTGTGTTTTATTAGTATTTCGAGCAGCGTATATCTTATGTACATTTGCAATTTCTCAGACGTTCGAGAGATTGGGAAAAATATTTTCCCGTTAATGAAACAGCGGTTTCATTCTATGTCTATTTTATACCGCGTGATGTCAGTAGAACAGATACCGTCTACCGATTTCCAGCAATCTGCAGATTGCATAAGTTATCTGTTTTTTTTTTTTTCATCCATTCACGATTTGAAGAAACAGCGAATAAGACGCAACTGAAGCAGTTCATATTTAATATAATAACTTCCTCCAACACGCAAGTTCTAGCACAGAACAGCAAAACCTTTGATCTATTCCGGGTAATATTTATGAAAGTTGCAGCGTTACTGTATATACTCTGCACCATAATTATTCCAACTGCATGCCTTCAAGCATGCAAACAACGCGACTCTGTAAAATAACACATACAAGTAACTATATATGAGTAATCGAATACGTCCTATCTAAGAAATAATAAGCTTTCTATCGCAAGTCCCATGATCCAAAGATCAAGGAGCCTTCAGAAACATCGAATAACAATGAAATATAATCTTCTAAGCAAAAAAATCAGCAAAAATTACGTAGCTTGAGAAGTAGTTTTTACATTACAAGATATACAAAAGATCAAAAGATTGGGGAACGGAAAATAGAGCGATTCGCCTCGCAAAAGGCTGCCGCGAATCTCGAACGCCAGACGGCTAGATGCTTCGATCGGAGAGGACGTTCGACGAGAAATTAGTCACCGGGCGATGTGACATCGGGCGGAAAGTTTTCTCTCCACGGTTTTGAAATTATCTCCGGAGCACACGCTCGACGAATCTCCATGTTTTCTCCGCCCAGTAAAAGACCGATCCCCGATTTACATCTTACGTGCCACCGCTGGCGGCGGCGATCGTCCGTTCGTCAGTTTGTTCGCGCGGACGATGTGCCCGCGCGGCTCGCGGCGCGGCGGCTCGATAACGAGCGAGAGAAACACATAAACATTCCAATAAATTAGCGCTCCGTTGACCCGGGACTGTCGCCTTGGGCGTTTTTATTCTCGCGCTACGCGGCTCTGTAATCGGTCAACGCATGTCACGTAGCGACCGGCGAAAGGTCTCGCCCGTTTTGATAAATCGGGGATCCGTAATGTTGTCGTGGCCGAGATTAAGGGGGATTTCGGGGCCGAGTGGATCCCGAAGGTGGCAACCGGCGAGGTGAGCCGATAATTAGACACTGTGTCTGCGTTTCCGGTAGAGGTCATGGTTTTCAGGCGTGCATTACAGAGACACGTGTACTCGCGGAACTCTGCGTCACCCGTGTATCTAGGGAATTGAAAATCCGTGTTGTTAACCCTTTGCCTTGTAACGATGAGTTGGTTTCAAACGGAATTTAGCGAACATGAGTATTATCAGTTTTTCTTTAAGTCGAAATGAAATGGTATTTTGTTGATTTTTATATTTAACTTTTAGGGTAAGTGTATATAGTTACAGATTATTTGTGAATTATATTTTTCAGCGACAATTGTTACAGGAATGTAGAGAGAAAGTAAAGACGTTCCAATCGCTTGTAATTGATTAGATTATACAGTAGGTACAGAGAACTTAATAATGACCCTCTATATTAGTACTCATTCGGTCGAACTTTTCAGGCAGAGATAGAATCTCTACCACTTTTCTTCTTCCCAGAGACACAAAACGAAAGCCTAAAGTAATTCAATTTTCCATCTCACGTATATTCTCCTCTCGAACATATATCAAAAGCAGACACTTTTCATTAACACCAACGTTACAACCCACATCGCGTCGATAAGATTTCCTCGAAAAACCGACGATTTTTATCGTCCAAGTACATTTCTACAGAACCATCATCCCGATTACGAAAGCCAAAACAGCGTGGTCTCTATGAAATCGTTATCTGAAAGCCTACGTCTACAGTTGCAATGCGATTTAATCGTTAGATTCGTATATTCAATAAACACACAATTCCTCCGCGAACAAATCGCATGCAAACCACTACAAATATAACATTACGCGTGTTCTTCCCTTGTTCCTTTTTCTTCGACGTTCCGATAAAACCACCGCGGAGCGCGATAATGCGTTCTTCTCCGACGTGGCTTTATCGTATCAGCGGTTTCGATCGATTTTTCTAATATTCGTTATCTGGTCCGAAGAAAACCCCGGGGCCCGGTCACGTATCCGTCGACCCGGTGGTCGATGTGCCACGACGACACACCGACACACACGCACACACGATCCGTGTGGGTCACCTCATGGACGCCTATAGAGCGGCAGTGGCGGCGTGACGCACTTCCGCTGGATACTGCTTCGTATGCAAGGAAGCGATCGGGTACTACAGCTTGCTTAGCATCCATTCGGTCTAGTCGGTTGTTCGCGGGCGGGGGCATCGGTGTCTTCCTTTAACGGGGACCTACCGCCCCGGTCCAAACCGGAACCCGCGGCTCCTACCTCGCTCACAATTACCGGAAGATGCACCTGCGCGACCCGCCTCGAGATCCCTGCGCGATATCGGCCGACCGACCGACATCGTCTGTCGATCCTCTTTCACTCGCCGTTCCTGCCGTTTCGTTCGATCCAATTCGGATCTTTCAAGTCTTTCGAATATCCACCGCGACGGGGGAATTTTTATTAAACAGGAGATAAGCTCTGTTACGTGTTATCGTACGGATATACGTACACCTCTCGTCGAGACACCTGTACCTGTTCCGAGCTGTTACGCGCAAGAGGAAGTTTCGCGAATCGGACTTCGTACGAATGTATACCTACGTGCTTAATTTGACGAGTACGTTGAACGCGGATATGCAATCATATCCGCGACGAGCGACATCGATCTGTTGTGTTTCTTAGCTAGGCTAGGGCCTTCCTGTACGACGTTTATTATTAGTAATATAATTCAGATGTATTTTCTATCGAAAGTATATTTATAAACGTTGTTGGAATCCACCGATAATATGCGCCCTGAGACGGAGCTCTACAAGCATGGAATACAACCGTTCCCTTAGCCGGGACTTTTATTGCACCCCCACTTGAGGGAAGGGACCCAGGGATGTCACGAACCAACGCAGTTAGTTGCGTCCGGACTGAACCGCCGCCAAGAGCTAGTAGACACTTTTGCTTTTTCAAACTATAGACAGTTTTTCCACTTCGTGCTAGAATACGTGTATTATTATTATTATTAATGAAGTATATTTTAAACACCTTATTCCAACAAACGTATATTAATTTAACGTGAAACAGCCACCTTTGCTATTTTGGGGCCAGAAGTCACAAGCATCGTATAAAGAGCGTGAAACGAATTTTAAAAAAGAGGATACTCTAGCCTTCTTTTCGGAGCTGATAACCGCGACGGTTTCATAGCCGCGAGAAACCATCGGAGTCGATACGACGAACGCAGACGTGTCTTTTCTCGTTTTCGCGAATCGTTTTGCATGCCCGTCTATTTGTCGACGCAGCCCGGCCGATACGTTATCGAAGCTTTTTTTCTCCTCTTCGGGAATAATAAAAAGCCACGAGCACGAGATTTATGTCCTGCGTGTCGCGCGAGATTAACAAGCTTTTTCGCGCCTCCGACATCCAGCGTACATCGCGACCACGGAAATTATTGTATTCGTACTTTGTTTCGTGCGACGATTTTTCAGTTTTTCCGCTCGGTTCCATTCCCGACGGTGTGTATGTGTGTTTGTGTGTGCACGGTTTTAAGGGGATCACGGTTGTCCTCGAACTTCCCTCGATAACGCGTTAATACCGAGCCGGCAACATTTGTTGCATCGATAATTCGTAACTACGCTCGACCTATCGCTCGCGGCTCGCGCTTACGTAACGCGTATATGTCTGTGTACTTCGAAATAATCGCGCGAACAACGCGAACCTCTTATCGAATCGTGTATGGACAGAATTCGCATTTGTAACGCGGAACGGCGAACCACTTAATAATCACGATTAACATATAATCGATAAGTGTGTATCGATAAGTTCGAAGTAAAAGGATATCTGAGCAATTGAGAACGATCTTTCGGGGAAAGCTACAAGATACGTGCACATGATTTCTCTTGTTTTGGTTGATGGTCGAAACTTTGTACGATGGGATGGAATTGATACCGAAGACACTTGGGCTCCAAGTAAATTACAAATTCGGTATAATATATGCTACTTGTACTGTTGGTTCAAACATGTCTGACGGGGACGATGGAACTTAAATATTCTGTTGCTTTGGTATATTTTGGGTCTGTTCGGGCCACAATTGTAACTTGTATGCTTTCGGTAACTGATTTGACACGTTAATCGCTATATTAATATATTTGGTATAAACTTTCCGTTTAGGCGATGTCGGTCCCCGGAGACCAACAGTATCAAATTTAAAAAATAATATATTATAATCCACGTAATATTAAAAAATAGGTTTACACTTTTTTAGTGGATATTTCTGAAACGTTTGAAACAAAAATGAGGCTTTCCTGTATAATTACTACAATAGGTTATCACCTCCTTGGTGCCATATCTAGCTACATATATCTATACAGTCACGTA